ACATTACCAATGAAATACGATACTATAAAATGTAATTAATGATTATGTACCTCTTATTTCATATCAAATCACGCTCAAAAATATTCGGCTCCTCTCCTTATTAACTAAGTACATTCTCAAACAATCAGATCTTTATGAAAACTTATGAAATCCACTAACAAAAACGGTTATTCATACAATAATCAACAAAGGTAACGCCTTACTAAATCGTGTACGCAGCGCGTGCGTAAGACATTCCTGACGCAACATCGCAAGCTACTTTATAAATACAGTTCGAAACAATCAATTTAAAAATATTGTTAACCATTCAGATAACGATTGTATACCTTCAAGGTTACAAGACTACAACTAAAGTAATTGCAACGCTTACGAAACTGATCGCGGCTTTTGTCTTCGAATTTGTGACATCTCTTTTGGAAACATCGGATTCCGAGGCTATTGATATTTCATAATGGATCGAGTCGTAATCGATTGTCTCGCTGAATGAACATCGAGCGCCGGAACAAACGATTCAATCGATACCTCTATAGTATTTTGTAACTTTCGCGTGGACCTTTGTCGTTCTTGTAATTTGATTATAGAAAGAAATAAACAAAAAAAAGTACCACACAGACTTAAATATATTCAGACCTTCTATAATTTAAAATCATAATCTTTTTTTAAACACAACGAATAAGTAGCTCTTTAACGGTATGGCTCGGCCTAGAAGCGACAAGCACTTATATTTTCATAGATAAGTGCACAGATAAAGTAATACTGCGTTAAAATGTCCATCATCGTTGAAGGTCGGTTCTGAAGCCTAGTGTATGCCGGTAGCTTTTTAAAAAGTGTATTAGTGGGCGATGATCCATTGTTACAGCTATAAATGTCAACGGCGCATTAGTTATCGGACCCTAATGTGTCTTTGGCAACAATATTATCAATAAATTGTGTACTCTGTGGCGCTGAGCTACACCTAATTGTCCTGCTGCTATATTTGCCTAGAAGTGACAATGTTATACCACAAAAAGTGTTTACTATTAACTAATTGTCAACGGCTACAAAGACAACCTAAATATAAATTAATTATATTAGTAATGCGTTTATATCCAACATTATTCTTAAATACGAATAAAGTATGTCAAATGAAAAGTTGAAAATGCTTTACTGTTTTACAAAATTTTACAACAAAGTATTTATTCTTTATTGCCTAAATATAATTTACTAAAATAGTTTCAAAATTATGAAAATTTTGTTAACCGCGAGCATTACAATTCACCTGTTCAACTATTATGTGACATAACAATAATTATGTTTCAGCGTATTTTTTGTAAGACGAATGATACGGCATGAAATTGCTTACCGCATCTATGTGCTCTATTTCCTTGGTAAAGTTGTGTAAGCACAACGTGATCCTGCGCAGAATAACTGAATCGAATCTATTGCGTATAATAATTCAATGCTAGAATTGCGGTCATACTGATATTTTTTGTCAAATATTTTGAGGTTACAAACAAGAAATATAATTTTTGTTACAAAAGCTTTAAAAACGATGATTTTCTATCATAGAAATTATGATTTCTTGCTCACAATGTGAATAACAGTTTTTCTGATATAACATCTATGTGTCGGTAAATATGTGCTTGGATAGACAGCCACTGCCTCATTACAATGTAAATATTAACTTAACTTAACATTAAGGAGTTTTTAATTCATTAAATAACCCAGTGGCGCCAGTCTAATGGTATAGGGCAAACTCGATAAAACATGAGATCGTAAATTCAATCCAAACATTTATTGTCTTAAAACGTATTCTAGCAAATGCGCTATTTTCTTCAGAATAGCCTAAAACTTATTTATATTTTATCATGTTTTAAAACATTAAAAAAAACATGCTTTAAAAATAAGACTTGACAAAAAACACTACGTTATTTTGGTTGTTGAAAACTTCTGTAAAAATGTTGTTTGATTATGCTAGATTTTACTTAGAAAAGTCCCTTTATTTTTATTTAAATTCATAACAAATTAATATTTGAAATACGGCATATGAACAATAACTTATTTCCATTCAACAATGATTGTTTAAATTTAAATGCATCGCCGGCAATAACTCTGTTCAAATATTCCGCCAGCGGTCCGTAAATTTGTCAAAGCACGGCGTCCGCTTACTTGGACCGCTGTAGTCCTCTACAGAAGGCTTAATAAAGTATCGGAGCAGATGTAAATGGAACAGCGAGCACGACCCGAGGCTAGGGCGGGGTCCGGACAACACTTTCATATTATTACGGCTGCATAGCACGCACACAGGCGCACGCGCACGATCTGACCGCGCACCGCACACCGTTGGACCGCGCACGCGATACGACCACTTTCAATGATTCGTTAGCGAAATCATTAGGAGATGTAATGTTGGCGCATTGTACTATGTGTTTATAGTTATTCAAATGATTTATTTTTATTGATAGTTTTTGCCTTGCCACGAGACATAAAATAATGATGGCTGATGACTGTACGCATAAGTCTAGTAATTATTATACATTATTGTGAAGGTGAACTTAAACGCGCGTAATTTGAACGTATAGTCTGACAAATTTCTCTGGCCCGGGAGAGACGTTACAGTCGCAATACTGTTACTGTTTGTTACTGTTATAGAAAATTACACATATACATTATTATGAAAAGTCAGCTACAATACCAAAAGCATCTTTCATTGGATATCGACAGGAGCGGCGCTAGTGAGCTGTTTATTTAGTGTCCTTTATGCCCACCGGGTCGGAAAAGTTTTTCCACCTGTACACTATACGTTAATGGAAACCGTATCGAGAAAATGAGTTATCAAGTGGATATGTTTTACGCATTCATCATTCGAAATCCGGGCAACGGCAGTTGTGTGTGGACAAGTTAGGACGTATCTGTACTTTACCGTAGCGAATGACTGATGTCCCTTGCTGTAAAACGGATCACCGTGTATATTGTGGCGTGGACTATAAATCAATAAAATTATTAGCATAGGCATAAAGCCTACTATTCATCTACATATCTACATCGATCATGTCAATCGTACATTAAATAGTACAACGTTAGGTGTACTGTGTAGCAAAATTAATGTACTATTAAAAACTTGTCAGCTTTTGTCATGAATATTGCGACAATTTTCAAGTCAGGTTACAGAGGCGCTGCTATCGCTGTTAGGGCTGTCAGAACACATAAAACTTAGGCATTGGAAATGAACAGATACATTACAACGAGCATCTCTCATGTAAACTGTCATAAATGAGTTTGAATATGCCTACCGAGTCAGATATCCTTGTTGATCTATACAGATTTTTTTCTTCAAATTTCAAAACCATTTTACTGGTTCAATACAACCTGAGAATCGATCGTTTATGATTGATTGCAAACTTTTACTTTTATATGGCAATAACAAATATCAATAAAATAATAAATTTATTACATTGACTATTTTTTTTCTCAAAATTAAGCAATGAAAGCTTTCATGACCCCAATAAAATGCATAAAAAAATAAAGCAGTTTTTAGGTTTTATAGCCGAAATTACATGGTTTTAAAGTTTTACCGTTTCATAATTAATATTACCGTTATCGTAATTTTATTATTACAAAAATATTCTCGGATTGCTTAATCAAGCGAACATTATTGTACGATGGGTCACGTACATTTTGAACACCGGTATGATTTTGGATTTCATTCGGTCAACAATTGGCATAACCGCAGAGACCACCCATATTTTGGAAGAGAAATATCCAAGAATTATTATGCTATAATAAATATATCTACTACATGGAAGCCTTTTTTTTTAACAATTTTGAGGATATTCTGATTAGCAAATTCTAGAAAGTTTGAAATAAATCATCACAAACACTAAAACGACCGGTACAAACAGACAGGCTACGTGATATTTTGTACCTTCCATTTTCCCCATTTTACCACTGAATCTACTAAACTAACTAAAAAACTATCAATATCAACAGGCGATTTAAAGCCGGAACGAAGTAAACAACTTTTAAGCACCTATCCATTTATACGGATCAGTTGGCGCAAACCTTTATAATAGTAGAAGACTTATTTGATTCGTTAAAGATTAGACTAAATCTGTACTTAAAAACTAACTGCCCTAATTTTTTAATTAAGACAGAAAATGTATACACAGTTTGACAAATAAATGTGAGTTTAATTTGTTTTTCCATCGTGTTTAAAAACTCTTCAGCTTTTAAATTTAAAGTGTCTCATATGACACATTACAAGGGCAGCAACCTTCAGTTAAACGGAGCTCGTCCGAGTCATCTTCAAGCAGTCCGCCCGTTCATTAAGTTCGCATGACTGTCCATCAAACAGATTATTGCAATTATTTAAATTCACACCTTCGAAACACGAAAAAGTCTCTTTTTACGTTTAATATTTCGTAAGCGCAAGGAAATGACGTCTCATTCGAAAGGTATAATTAGGGACAACCTTGGTTCAGGGTTGGACTGGATTTACGCTTCGTGCTGCGACGTTGAAGTGATAATTGTTCGACGTTTCGACATTCATTACTAAATGTTGAATCTTTATTTATTCATCGATAATTGATCTTCATGTTTACATTGTTCGTGATCATCAACTAAAATTATTAACATTGTTATATTTTTCGGCATTGCTCCTAAAAGCGTTATATTTTAAGATACCATATGTATATATATTTCTAGATCTTATGCCACATTACTATGTCCTGAGCGATTACATCGATGCGATTAATTACGAGTGATATTAATAAAATAGACAATAAATGTACAGAACAACAAATTATACATGTAACGCAACGCATACAGGTAGCATATAAACTATTCAAGATTCAACAAAAAGCGTGTTTATTACATTTTTATATTGGTAATTTATTGCAAACTATCTGGAAGTTATTTGAAGATCGTAAAGAATTAATCTCAACAACACAACAGCAACAAAATGTGAAATTAATTCTTCAAGTATAGCTTCCGCGTTAGCTCTATAAGTACGGAAAACTTACACGGTCGGAACATGGGCCGGGAATGGACGTGATGCAGTGTAACGTACCGCTATAGTCCTGCCGTTGCCTTGGGCACGCCCAGGGCACTAACCCTCGTCGCAGTCGCAATATGCACTATTATGCACCCAGAGCACCGCACACTCGCACTGATAAAAGGTGTAGGTGTAGTAGTTCGTCCAGTAGAATAGATGGCTACCCTCCCTTTCACTAACGTAATAGTGCCGTACTTATAGCCCAAGTTAAAACAATTTACGAAACTAAATAGAATATTAAACAGACTTTTGTTTATTTGTCTCTTCCTCCAGTTTTATTCGGCTTTGTCTCAGTTGTTATCTTAACTGATAAAAAAAAGTGAAAACACAGATTTAGTATTTCTATCACCTCTACTGTACATGATTATTGATTACATTGTCAAGCGGTACAAGGAGCTCTTCCTTAAAAATTTTATAACAAACATTATAAAATGTTTAATTATTCCTTTAAAATAATTATTAGATTTCATACATTCTAAGTAATATGTTACTCTGTTAATATTATAGAATGAAATATTGACTATTTATAGTTTAGGATGCTTCGCATTCCGGATAAGTTCGCACGCATTATTGTAATACTCAGTTCATTCTGTGGCTAGATGCGGAAAACCTTCTTTATTATATGAACAAATGCATATCTTCAAAGCTTCCGTACATATACCATGTTTAACAATTGTGTTCCTAATTGGGTTTGTAGGAAGTTGTCAAAGGCATTAATATCTATTAGCAATGTATCATTTTACACTCAACAAAACTAATAACGGTTAGAGATCTGGTATTAAAGTTCTGAATTTAAAATCATAAAATATGTCAAAAACCTATATAGTAAGAATTGAACAAAAGGTAACCAAGGTCGAGACCGGACTATAGATACGAGCAAGAATCCAATAAGGTATCTATCCATATATTGATAACAGATAAGGCTGTCACCGACGGGGCGGTGGCGGCGGCGGGCGGCGGCCGGTCACTAAATATCCGCCGCGTGATATACAACCAGTGCTGCGATGTCTACACTGGTTGCGAAATTAGAGCGGCCCGACGCACGCGCACTCGCGCACTCGCGCACCGCCCGCGCGTGCCCGATCCCTGCGTGAGTACTACTGATAAATTCAATTTCGAATTTGGAATTCGCACGATGTTCTAAAACCAAAATGTTTTGTTTCAGTTTTTTTTTAAAGGCTAACGTTACGTATGCCATTCAGCCAGTATTTACTAGAATCATCATTTCCATATTTATTAAAAAAATGTGATTATGTATGAATAAAAAGTTTATGTAATCAGAGCAATTCACACATCATATTTTAGTCACTAAAAAAATTGCAGATTTTTCTGGTAATTAACAGTAAGATAAAGTAGTAAGGATTGGGGTCAAGTTATCTGGGACCTTTCGCCTTGCATTAAGATAAGTTATTTTAAACGTCCTGTCGGTCAGAGGCGTTGGACGAAATATTCTTATTTATTTTTTCCACCAGCGCATAAATGAGAAAAGTAAAAAAAAAAAGTACACACTGAGCTTTGAGTTTTAAGTCACCGCTATACAAATGAGTTCATTTATTTCTTACAACGTTGCAGACCCTTAGTGGAGATTTCTTAACTAGATGTACACTCAGGTATCCTTGACTATTATAAATTATTTTCTGGTGTAATTTTCCCTACTGTTCAGTTAGTTCATGATACATTATTGTTAAATGTTACTTCTAATTTAAGACTGTGTGTATTGGAACGGAATTCGGTAATTCGAATCGTCGCCAGTTGTCGGACACGAAGTTCGTGTCTATGTCGCGTTTGCGAGGGCTAAGGCGAGTCTAATGTCAAATGTAAGTTTATTGTTAGCTCAGTAATAAACAATTAAACACGCCCTGGCTAAATTGAATGCTACAGTTTGTTGCTTGAATTTAACTGTTGCTTTGCTTGTTTATCAACTTATCTTTGGTGTAAAATCTGACCGTTGTATGTTGTTATAACATTTATATTATGATGGTTTGGTATACCTACCTTTATACACGTACCATAAATACCATGTATTCAATTTTCTTTTTAAATTGTAATAACTACTTTAATTATTTTTTATTTTATCCGAGAATATTAGTATGAACAAACTAGTCCTAACAAAATGACTTATTGTAATCAAAATATTTTTTAGTACTTGACGCGTAATTAGACATCTAAATGTTAGGTTCGGAGTTTCAACAAATTGAGAATAAGCTAAAGTTAACTTTGAATACAACATTATTTCTAAGTGAAACATTTAATAGGCCTAACTAAATGTCCATTTGTAACCTCTCATTAGGTTAACCATTACCTTACCTCGGACATAAGGTACGTCGAGCAACGTCAAAGATAAATGGCCATGTGCACAAATTAAACACCCACAATATTGATCGATCGGCCTCTTCATTTTTGTGCCGGACACGCTTATTAATCATGCACTCGGTAATCTTGTGAAATTTATTACCTCTAAGCGAATCTGCCCGTAGATTTATCAACGAAATGTGTGGGCTATCTTCATTCAATATTCAAATTAACTGGGAGCGATAAGTGTTCCGATACCCATTTCTCAACTCTAGATAGTTAATGTACTCGTAGGTAATGTTTAAAATTTAATGGAATTGTTACAGTGATCGGAGTGTTAGAGCTGGTTATGGTACAAAACTATTGTTACCTAATTATTTTAATCTATCCTAGAATGTCATTTCGTGAACTTTCAGTTGATTTAAATCCTACACTAGCATGATTAGATTCAAAAACAATATATGTTTTATACCCGAATGTTAGATTTGTTGCATAATATAAAAAAAAGAAATTGACGAGAAGAACAAATCTACCCCTTCCAGTATAATTATACGTTCTTGTCCACTTAATAAAGATGACGGACCACCGACAAGTAGCCTACGCGTATTAATTACGCAGTATAGGCACAAAATCGATACACGTCCGGCTTTCTAATTTAATTTGGAGCATTGAGTATTACGGCAAGGCGACGGAAGACTCGATAAGCGTTTATACGGATCAGTTGCGCTAGCTCGCGTGATCGAGTACTCCTGATGCTAGCCACAAACGATAGCAGCGCCTTACGCGGAAATTAGCAATCGTGAGAACGTCACCGAACACAATGAATAAATAAAATTCGAACAACGAATTAATTATGAAAAGTTCAAAAATAAAATGTTTTATTTATCTGTACATCCCATTTTTGATAACAAAGATTGAAGTACGGTCTATTCAAAATCTTTAAATATTTATTTTATTCACCCCAAGACACCTTGCATTCAATAAGGATAGACGTTAATAATTTTTTAGTTTCCCCTATTTGATACTAGATGGCGCTGCGCTGTTAAAATTCGTGCTATTGTTTGTCGCTAACTCTACGCATACTTTCCATGAACATCAATTCTCGTGGACTCTTCTATAATGAGGTCGTGGTATTTCACTATTTATTTTTGGTTCGACAGTACACTCCAACGTAGTGTTACTGTCACGGATTACTGAACATATTTACTAGTTTATTGGTGAATTGATGAATGTGTTTCGTTCGAGTCGAGATTTATTTAACTTAAACTTATGTCAATGCCTTTGTATTCATGTAAGAAAAATTTTCAAAATAGTCAAATTTTTATTAATTTGTGTTCGCTAGGGGATGATGATCGAAATTCCAATATAGAATTTTAAAGCTTCTTAGTCTCAGATGACAAAGACGGAAGTCGATTGTAAAATCTTCTGTTTATCTTAAAGAAAAACAGAATATTTTATCTTAAAAAAATGTTATTTTTCTCTTGTTTATCCGATTTTTAGTTTATGTCCATTATATAATTTACACTTACGTGATGTATTCAGTAAATTATTAACGAACATTTTTTGATAATTTGATAGAAAAATTATAGATGGCCCCTTAGACAAAGTGAGTTTCGATTAGCGGTATCGCTAGTAGAAGTACAATCGACAAAATGTATCGCAATGAATTCGTGACATGCAGGTGATTTATCGAATGAAATTGTCACTTCCATACATTTTTGACTTTCCGATCAGCGATAGCGATAATCGAGTGTTACTTTGTAAAGGGTCTGTAGGTGGTATGACATAAAGAAATTCAGACATGGTTTGCAATTTTAGCTTGGTTACAAGTCTCTACGCACATATATTTCTCTATTAATAAAAAACCTTTTTGTTGTACGGCAGTGCATCCATATTGCAGGCAGCAATAAAGTTAGTACATCGCCGCTGGCCGGTAGCGGGGTGGCCTGCCTCGATTCATGCATAAATATCAAAAACAATAACTACATATTTTTTTACACTTATTGACTTTTCTTTTATTGTAATTTCTAGACTTAAAGTTTGTATCTTGGATGTAAATATTTTAATGCTAAACTTTATTTAAAAAAAATGCTTTATTGTTAAATTTTTTTATTAATGTTATTTATTTTTTAATTAATTATTGTGTATTTGTACCTCTTACATTTGGTCAATTTTTTTTTGTTCCAATTATCTAAAATAAAGAGCTAACATAGAATTATTTAGTCTTGAAAGTAACGAAAATCCACAATTTCTGTTGTATCTGAAAACACAAGCAAAACATCCGAACATTACAGTCGCGGCGATCTAAATATTATATCGGTAAGATAAAGCGATAGGTGCTATAATTCCATTGTTGATCGTGTATCCATTTACCATAACAGTGGATGTGGTAGCATCCGATATGGTCAGAGCCATCTGATAGCCAACAACGGCAGCGGTTGCACTCGCAAGCTATCACAACCATTATCTATGTAAGCATTCTTTCATAAAATCCATGTTACAAACTGATTCAACATGAAACAAAACACAATCTTCATTTTATTTTTAAAGTATTAAAAAATTTTGAGCCTTTAAATACTGTCTATATTAGTTTTTTAGCAAAGCCGCAAGCGATTCTACGGATGACTGGATGGATGTTTGTTACTACGTGTAGCCAGAACGGATCAAAGGATCTCGCTGAAATTTGACACAGACATAGAACATAGTCTGGAAAAACATACAAGCTACTATGTTTTTTTTTTAAATTCACTTCACGAGTCACGAGCAACAGCTAGTCTAAACGGTTGAACGGATTTCGATAAAATTTGACATAAATGTAGAAAATAGTCTGGAACAACATATGAGCTACTTGTTAAGATTTTTTATTCCGCACGAGCTGTCACTGGCGACAACTAGTCTTTAAAAAAAGTTAAGATATTTACTAAATTAACTACAGTTAAACCTCTTAAGGTTTTTAA